GGTCTATATAAATGCATACAGGGGTCTATATAAATGAATACCCCTGTAACACTTCGCGTTCGACTTATTAATTGCCGCGATTTCCTTGTCCGTGTCGGATGCGGGCTTGGTAATGGCTCGACAATTACGCTCGCTGTCGTCAGAGTTGTTGTTGGGCCCGGCTCTTCCCACGTGACTGATTCTTTTGCTCAGGCAATGTCTCAGTACACAGTAGGGAAATGCCAAATCTTTGCGCTGGAGAGAACCATGACTCGAGCAGCTCGCGGCTCACGCGGTTGTCACCTCTTGCGACCATTATGTATGATTAAGAATTCCCGACGGAATCCGAAATGTCAGGAAAATAAAACTCTTGTTTCAGTATTCGCATCTCCTTCTTCTGAACCGCTTCCTGGAACTCGCATATTTACTTCTATTAGACCAACTTTATTTTTACCGGACGCTGTTTGCCTGTATGGCTACAGTTTTCTGAGCTGTTGACTATTCAGCGATCATGACGGTGACTTTACTCTTTTGGAAGTTGAAAGAGAGCTGCGGTTAACTTTGACTACATGCAGTGTGTGTGGCGAGCTAAAAATTCGATTTTACTCAAGCGACGCCTGAAGAAATTAGAGCTGGACATCATCATATAGGTAAAGAACCAGCTGGCTTAACTTAGAACAAGCGATTCAACCTGGTGGCATGCGCGAATTCTACACAGTAGAAACAGTTACTTGCCCTTTCCAGTGGCTCAAGTTCTGACAAGCAATACTCAGTCCTAGCGTGACCTGAATCAACAACCCCCTTTAATAGGTATATGAACCAATTTCCTGGATCCAGTGTAATAGGAATTGTACGCACATGTGTTGGAAAGGTTGCTGCAACTTGGTTTCAGTGGTCCATATGGCGTAAATAAATGTCTCAGACGTTTGCCCTCATGATTTGCGAGCTTTGATGCTTGATTGCGGAAACTATAAAAACTCAAAAACACTCCTGTCTTTTCTGTGTAGAGCTACGCAGACGTTTCTTCACTTCCTACGTACGAAAGATCCTTGATACCAGTAAACCTATTTACTAAGTACTGTATAATAATATCATTGAGTGTCGGCACTGGTAACTCAGTTTTTCCAACTGCGACTGCCGACTGCGTACTGGTCGGAATAAACAAGTTTAAAAACAGCAAACACAAAATGCACGTGTTAATCACCAGTTGATCAATATTTTGATAACGAATTCATGTAAGAGTAGCATAAGTAGGCTTTCGATAAATTCTCGTCGGGCCAGTACATTTATATGGGAACAGAGTGCAAGTTAAAACGTGTTCGTCTTTTCGTAAAAGTGAGTCGTGGGAATAGGGGGGGAAGGGGGTCGATAAGAGAAGACTAGTTATTAGGGCAGAGTTTGGTGGAGCCAGTCTAGGGGGGGGGAGGGAGACAAACAGAGCGCGGACGAGTGCATGCCGCTAAGTGACCTTGGGCCACGCCAGACGCGGAGCTTTTAGGAATAAATTCAG